TTCGGGTGGAGGCAGAAACGTCAGCTAACTTTTTTTTGGAGAAGGCAGATCTGTTTCTTCTACATTTAAATTGCATTTCATGTTTTCCTATTGTGCAAGTAAACATTTCTCATAGAATTTTTATTTGTTATTTAACATTTCTTGTTGCTATTTGTCCTAATTTTTAGAAAACTTTTAGCAAGTGCTTTCAAAAAGTGGTGGGGACATGTCCCCAGCGTAAATGACACCAATGGTACAGAACGGTGAAAAACCACTATTTTTTTTAATCCCATTTGGATTGTGCTCTGAATTACACAATTTAATGATCTGTTATCATGGGACCAATAAATAACCACACATCCCAATAATTAAAAGTATCAAAATCAGCTTTTTCTTAAAAATAAAAAAATGACTTCATTGACCAATATCAATGAAAAGTCTATGTCCCTAAATCCAGAATATAACATTACAATCATCTTTTCACAATATTCTCTAGCTTCTTTCATCGTAACCCGTCAACAAGTGGAAAGGATGAAAATGAATTTTTGAATAGAAGCGAATAAATTCTGTACAACCTCCTTATTCAGACAACTGTTTCAAAATAAAGTCTATTCAAATCACTTCACATTTACCAATATCATATACAATACATATACAATAATAATATAATATAACTCATTTCAGTCCATCTGTGATCACGCTTCCATTCACAAACTAAAAATGAATCCTTATGTGGAAACCAGAAACTTGCTGACACCCTGATGAAGGACAGATAAGAAAGATGAACTGGAGAAGTTTTTTTCATTAGGACTTATGTTGAAGCCTCACTGGTGGGCACCTCGCTGTGTGTGTGTTTTCACTATAAGAAATCTGAGTTTACTGAACAAAATTATGTAAGACTTAATAATAAATATATACGCTTAACCATTTGGTTGAAATGTCCATATGTAGTGATATATTCAAGCCTCTTATTTTTTTTTATTTAACAAAAGCTGACTATTACTGCGGAATACAAACTTTTGTCAATATAATATTAATCGATTACAGTTTCATCTTGTGACTATTTACCCATGTGGGGCTAAAGGCACAGAGTTTAAGTACAAGTATTTGCAGCAAAATGTATTTAAAGCATCAAAAGTATAATGCAGCGAATAGGAAGGACTCCTGTCAGTGTCAATATTGTTATTACTACTTTATCTATTACTACTGTATGTAACAGACTGTAAGGTACATTAAGAGATAATGTTTAGTGTATGTAAAACCTTGACCTTCAAATAAGAGGCACGAAATTTCCCTCTTAATTGTAGGGGAGTATTAGTACCTCAAGTACATGTAAAAGTATTTGAGTAAATGTACATAATTACTTTCCACCGTCAGAATGTATAAAAGTAAATGGAGCAACGTGGCTGCAGTTTCCCACTGAGAATAATCCCTCAGCTATGTGGAAGCTGCCGTGATACTTCTTCCTCCTCTCCTTTATCAAGAGACTCGTGCTCGGCAGTAGAGATGTTTTCCTCTGCGCTCTGATCTTTCAGAGAAAAACAGGGCTGCTGCACCACATGTGGCTCCACGGCTCCACCTAGCATTTCAATCCCAGACTGCAGTGGTTAAATGTAGAAGCTGAGCGTCCTGGCGTCCACACAGGCGGACAGGGAAGCATCAGATGAGAATAGGAACATCAAAAGATCAGATCGTGAAGGCACTGACCTGCTCTTAGTCCTAGATTCTGCTGTGGTGGGTATCTGGAGGGGCGACAACGTACAACGTAGTACGTACAAATGAAAGTATGACATGTCACCCAGTTTTACAAGCAAATGGATCCCCAACTTCCCAGCATAAAAACAATAGGATCAAAACATGTACATGAGGTTAACTCAGAAAGAAACAGAATGAAAAATATAAACTCATTCGTAAAGAAAAAGAAAAACAGACAAATGAAAATGGTAAATGAATAAAAAGTAAATAAAAACAAACAAAAGCTGTCACACAACAAAGTCCTTCACCCAAAAATAAATGACTGCTCCGAAAGCTGAATGAACTAACAAAAGAAAGAATAGGACCCCACGTTTTATTAAAGTTATCAGATCAGCCCCTAATACTGTATTTCATTTTCTATTTCTTTTAAATAATTATATAAGGGACATTAAGTCATTCAGCCAGGAATCAGAAGGTGGAGGTTTTAGATCCTTCCAATGAGCTAAAAGGGATGAAAAAGATATAATATTTCTCTCCCTGGGAGTGAAGCTGGCAAAATCTTCAGGGACACTGAAAAGACACGCCAGAAATCCCTGGTCCATCGAGGGACTTTGAGTTTATCGTAGAAAGAGGACCAGAAAGGAGCCAGCCTTGGAGAAAAAACGACGACGACCGGGAAGAGAGGGCCCTCAGCTGTTGGAGTCTGTGTAAATTACACAGATCAGCCATAATCCTGGACCGCTTTTTGACGCCAACACAGCCCTGACCCGTCGAGGTCTGGACTTCACTGTGTCTGCTCTGTGTGTTCTCACACCTTTCTATCAGAACCAGCATCAACTTTTTCTGCAGTTTAACCTGCAGGAGCTCGTCTGCTGGATCAGACCACACGGCCCAGCCTTCTCTCCACAAATGCTTCAATGGTCGGCGGTTCACAGCTTTTCCTTCCTTGGCCGCCACTTCTGATTGGCACTGACCCCTGCACACCGGTTTGGAGATGCTCTGACCCAGTGGTCTCGCCATCGCAGTTTGGTCCTGCTTCTGACACATCAACTACGAGGTCACAATGTTCACCTGCTGCTTAATATTTTCCACCCGCTGACAGGAGCCATGATAACGACATGTCAGGGGTCATGATGTTATGGCTGACAGACAGGAATGAAGACCCCCTTTGCCTTTCCGTAAAGACACTGACAGCAGAAATTATGTTCAAACATAATGGGAAAAAGTCTTACAATGAACTGCAAATCCAGATTTAAATCTTTCATGCGTCTGAGTTGTTACTGTACTGCTTTTAATGACAAGTAACAAGTCCCACAAAAACATTTTAATGGAAGTCTGTTTATATTAAACAAGGTTGTACCACTAAAAAGACGTGTGCATCTTTCAACATTCAGATTTCTTTGCGATGATGTTCATCTTCATGTAGCATAATGTCCTCTGTGGCTCTGCAGGAGCTGAATCAAGTCTGGGAAATTACCCCCGACGACGTTAGGCTGCACGATTTGGAGAAAAAGTCATATTGCGATTCGATTATAATGGAACAAATGGTGCTATGAGTCTACCTGCTAGATTATCAAGGAAAATGCACAATTTTGAAATATGTTTTTCTCAACTTGAACAAAGTTAAACGATAAACAATATTTATAACAATAACTAGTAAAACTGTATCAAGGGAGCGCGTTGCTCTACGGAGGCGGCGGCTAGAAGGAGCAAATATTGGCCACGGCTAAATCTACATCTGTCCACTGCAGAGGCTCAATCCTGGAGGAGGAACTGGTATACATAGGTGTATTAGTATAATATTATAACATTAAAAAAAGAGTATAATGTTCTGTTAATAGCATACTGTTAGATTAACAATACTAGCCTATTTTAATTACTATATTCATTATAATTTCAATACCACCATTTACCACTAGCTGAATATTAAATCCAGTTACAGCTGTTTATTTATTTAATCATTGTGCAAGAAAAAGGCTCTAAATTGGTCTCTTATTTGTTAATGCTGATTACAAACCTGTCAATAATCATATTGCTCAGCATTGTAAAGTGTGCTGTAACATGTCAAACCTTTTTAATGTCCCGCTTCATCCAGGCTGTGAGTGGTAGGTTAACGAAAAGTGAAACTGACTGTCTTTATGAAAAGTTGAACAACAAAACAAAGAACTGACTGTATTTAAAGTAGTTAAAACTAGCTGACTTTCAAGATTAATCAGATTTGTCGCTGAAGCGTTAACGTTACATTATAGGGTCTCGATCCCCATCCCTGATGATGATTAACGTGTTTATTAGAATAATGTTTAAGGTGTTTATTGAAAGATACACAGAACCTTACGGGGCAACTTCCTCGCTCAGCTTTACTCTGCGGCCTTCACATTTTTGTAACACACACACACACACACACACACACACTACCCTGTTGCTAGCAGGCCGTATCAGAGGCTCAGGCAAAGGTCATAATTTAGAATTAATTGCATATCTGAGTGACAATGGGGCCTGCAACTCTGAAGGCTGTGAAGGTCATCATGTGACACAGCGCACGAACCTGTGCTTGTGTTGATGTTAACTCCTTTGTCTTACGCACACACACACTTTTTATTAAACATTTCAGTCTTATTTCTTTAGAGGTGTTGTAGGGTAGAATACACAGTTTTAATATAGAGTATGTATAGATGTGGAAAAGGTGGGTCTTACCAGAAGACCCACAAGTGGAGGAGCGAGACAGGATATATAAACCAATGTAATACAGAGTTGAGGAAGTCTGCTCCCAGGACCAGCTCGGCTACACTTGTATTTGGTTGAAATTATCAGTAAACTTGACCAATTTGAACTTTACTTGAATCTGTCCCATTAAAAAAAAAAAACCACACCATTTATATTGAAAGGACAACAGTTACACCCAAGGGAAAAGAGTGAAGGCCCAAGAGGGATTTTATATCCCACAATATAAAGCTATTAAACTAGCTGACTGTATATTAAGTAGTAAAACTTGCTCCACCTTGTAAAATGCTGCTCCAACATTGATGCGTCAGTATTAACAATCTAATAATGTCACAATCAGTGACAGGAGACGTTTTACTGCAGAACAGTACTTTGATACTTTAACTACATGAAGCTGCTAATACTTCTGTACTTTTACTGAAAAAGGATTTTGAATTAAGGCCTTATTGTAATATAATGTAGTATTTTCACATTGTGGTACTGTTTACACCCGAGTGTCCTTCCGAGTGCTCCTCATTGAGGACCATATTCTGTACCTGGACCGTTACATGCTGTTGGGTAATGTGTTGACAGAAGAAAAAAAATAAATAGAGCACAAGTTCATTATTGTAATTTCAAATATATTTATTATTACCTCCAAGTTATCTCATAACATAAGCATTTGACACCAAAGGGCTGACTGAAATACTGAACATTCATTCCTTTAGACAGTGTTACACATTCAAGAACTACATTCACACCTTTAGAGAGAATCGTCAGACGACTGTTCGATACTCTGCTTGAAGTCTCAACTCTCACGAAGGACCCGAAGGTTAGTTGATAAAGAAATGTCTCCCCTCTTAATAAAGGCACGTTGGCGCTCAGTAGAGACACCGCTTCCTGCGAGTTCCCTTGTTTATTATTACAGAAACATTTCTTTAAAAATCACAGCCACCGCAATAACCGTGTACGACTCCTACTGATGAAAAAAAAACTAGAAAATGTTTCGTCTCAACACTGATGATTCTCAAACACCTGGCAGAAAAATTAACACGTTAAAAACTGGAAATGGTGTTTTTGTGGTCAGTTAATTTTTTTTTTTTTTTTTAAATACAAAAAAGTGGTTTTCAGTGACAGAACATCTCGACTCGCTCTGCCTGAAGAGACAACACAGTCTCAACCCCAGCAGCTTGAACACAAGCACTAAATAAAGTGAACACGGGTCTCCGGCTGAGTGTTTCATAAACTGTACAGTACAGTAAAATACAGCAAAGCTTATCTTTTGTGCGAGTTTTAAAATATACTGAGCACCGTGTGACAGTGTTTTCAAATGATGTCGGTCGTCAGAGTCCACACAACACCAGCTGTGTGTGTGTGTGTGTGTCTCATCAGTCCTCGTCATCTTGTAGTAGAGGGTCTTTCTCTCCGGTTGAAGTGCTCGTGTGTCCCTCTGGTGTGTCGCCTTTAATCGTCTGTGTCAGAAGAAAGAGTGCGTGAGGACGTGTTCAAAAGAGATTCATTCAAAAAAAATAAATAAATAAAATACCATCCGGCAAGAATATTAGCCATAAAGCCACACAGTCCAGCTGAACGCTAGAAAAAAAAAAAAAAAAAGAAACAAACCCTAGAAATGCTGAATTCGTCACATATGGAAGCACGGTCAAGACATCAGTTTGTAACGCACTGGGGAGCCATTTAGCGTCGTAGCACAACGCTAAAGGTAGGTGTAGTATTTAAATAACAGACAAGTCAGTAAGGAGGTGGATGGGTGAGTCAGAAACCGGACCCTGGACCCAGGAGACCGGTGTTCCTTTTAGCATGTGAAACAAAAAGTCAGCGATTCTTTTTAGTTACGTGACTTAAGTAAAGTCATGTCACGTCAGTACCGTATCCATTTTACCCCAAACCATCATCTTTTCCTTAACCTAACCCAGTAGTTTGTGCCTAAACGTAAACCAAATTCCAACATGTCATAACATTACCACTAGTTTTATTTTGAAAGTCTAAAAACGGAAATTGAAAATTTATTGTCGCTAACTTGACCGCCAAACCCTACACATGCACAAACGACACTAAAGGGGTTTCCCAGGGCATTAAAAAGAGATGCCAGGGGTCTGGCCACTAAAAAAGTATGTGCAAGGTGTTTTTAAAGATTTGTCTTCAGAGCCACAGACGGGAAGTCAAAGTGTTGGGAAACGGTCTGACACATTGTTACTTTTGGTCTTTTCATTGGATTTATCAACGATAATAAAAATAGACTTTCATCAGCCTTGCCCTTTAAAGGTGGGGTCAGTGATTCTAATCCAATACACATCTTTTTGTCAAATTCAGTGATCATCTCCTCCGTTCTGTGAGCGCTGAAAACAATATATAGTTTGTACACTGACTACTAACTTAGCTAACGTTAGTAAAGCTGATGATACATGGAGCAACTTGTAGAGCAACGGTACTGGGCAGTGTTATCAGTGGTAATGAGTAGAGATTACCGTAATCCTCTTCCCCTCCCCGCCGCTATCTGTTCAAAACATAGTTGGACTTGCCACCAGCAACATTCCTCAAAAAGTTTCCCCGTGTATCATCAGCTTAACATTACTTGCGGTGTCGTCGTTTGCTCTCTATGTCATGGTGTTGCATTTCTCCTGAATCGCTCACCCCATCTTTAAACTGACAAAGAAAATGGATGACTATTTAAACATAGCCACGCCATTGGTTCCTGGCCATCATTACACTGACATTTACTCCTTTAGCTTTTATCCAAAACAACTTACAATTGCTTTATGTGTCAGACGTCGCACGCCTCTGGTGCAACTAGGGGTCAAGGGAAGGAAACGCTGATGCTTTAATAATGTGGTGTTCTTCCTATTATATTCATACTGGGACACCTCTTTACACATCTTCATGCATCAACACCAAAACGTCATGCCACAAGAACCTTTGCACTTTCCATCCTCTTCGTTTCAAACAGCATACAGCTCTTTTCTTTTAATGAACTTTTAAAAATTTTATATACATTTGTGATTTTTGACTGTCGTAGCATTGGTTTTTTTTTTTTTTTTTTTTTTTTTAAATCTTACTAAGCAAAATCAAGTGGCTAATTCCTTGTATATGAAACCTACTTGGCAATAAACGTGATTCTGAACTGCAAAAACCCCCCAAAACACACAAAAAGCAACGAGTACATGTGTATGTCTTTGTGTGCGCACCCACCTGAATTACTCATGACATATTTCTCCTTTGTTTCATGGTCATGTGAACCTTTTACCGGCTCTTTACCGGATTCCTAAAAGACGACCAAACTGTCTTTAAACATCAGCTAATCAGAAAATACAAAAAAAAGACAATTAGCTGCTGGTTTGATTCAAGGTTGTTACGGAGATGAAACCAGCAGCAGCGTGATTTTAGAAGGTGGATGTGCAGAGATTCATGCAAGAAGCCATTTCTGGTGGTAATCGTTTCCACCGTTAAAGAGGGCATGCGAGGGGTTACATTCAGTGTCTTTTTAACATGATCATACACAATTACACGTGAAGGCGTTCGGTTTGTTTGCCCCCACAGCTCTTTGGATGGGCTGATTATCATGCAACAAAGCTTAATGAGAAAGGAAAGATAAGAAATGCTGAAACTGAGACTTATGGTCAGAAACCACAAGAGCTGGACCGGCTGTAATTAGCCACTAGGTCATCCCTTCTGTAGTAGAAAGCGTTGGTCTAATTGGATACCTTATATAAGAAGTACTTGACGAATTGTGAATGTGCAGATGCACCCCACACATTTTCACTTACGGGTGTCCTCACTTTTGTCTCCAGCGGTTTAGACATTAACGGCTGTGTGATGTGTTATTTTGAGGGGACGGCAAATTTACACTGTTATACAAGCTGCACACTCACTACTTTACACCGAAGCAAAGTGTCATTTCTTCAGTGTTGTCACATGAAAAGATGAAAAATGTGAGGGGTGGACTCACTGTGAGATACCTGCCCTCACATGCTGTAAGGTCAAAAGTCAACTGGGTCTTTTTAGAAAGCTGTTTGCATGTTACACTTTTATTTAGTTGTGCATTGTTGAGCTGCATCTAACGATTACTTCATTATCAATCGATTTAAGGTTTGGGCTTATAAAATGTTGGTGGACAGTAACCAAGTACATTTACTTAAGTCTCGTACTAAGTACAATTTAAGAGGAACGTGTACTTGAGTATTTTCTTTTTTTTTTATTGCCACTTTCCACTCCACCACATCTCGGAGGTTTTAGTTTCAACTTCACTACATTTACAACTTCAGTTACTTAACTTTTCAAGATTTTACACACGAAACATATGAAGAGTTTATAAAATATGTTTTGTTATAAATTAACCGAAACAAATAGTTGATTGACAGAAATCTGATCCAATTTTGACAAGTTTGTCAAGCCAGCAACACCTGACAAACTTAATAATAGTAACATGTATAATAGTACTTTTAAAATCAGGTACTTTTGTACTTTGAAGTAGAAATTTAAATTGAAAAACTTCTTTTAGTGGAGTAATATTTAGCCATGGTATCTTTACTTATCCTTAAGTACAAAATTTCTGTACTTCGTCCACCACTGTGCACATGACAGTTTCCCAGAAGTCCAAGCTGACATTCATAAATCTTGTACCGGCCAACTAGCAGTACAGAAGATATTTAACGTCAATATCATGGATGACAAAAAAAAGCTCATCTTTTTCCCCATTTGAGGAGCTGAAAACAAAAAAAGGATCAGTTTCGAACAACCAATTAATTTTCACTGCCAATTTTCTGTCCATTGACTAAAGGTCTTACGTCTAGCTGACCGATTTGAAAGCAACAGCATAGTTCGTGCAAAACAAAATATTTTGAATATCTGACATTCTGATATAATTAATTGCAGTTTTTTTAACCTGGAAATCTGATAAAACCCTTTCCAGCTGTCACCACCGCTGCTGCAGGAAACAGAAGAAAAGACTGACTGAAAAGTGGAGGTTAATCCTCCAATTTACAAGAAAGGAAGCAACTATTCGAAAAATGAATTCCAAAATCAACTCCAGTCCACAATAGAGTTGAAATCACAGCTCAAAATCAAATGAAAATCAAAATTTGTCATTCGGATGACTGATCAGGACAGTTTCACAAACCCCAGAGTTCGTCACAGTGGAAGTTATTGTCGTGTTTGTTTGAGACCACTGCAAACACAAAAAAACACTTTTAAATAATGATATTATAAAATCTCTTAAACCATGTCACTGGAATTTGAACCTCTTGCCAAATGTCAGGTCAGGGTGCTTTATGGGCCGCTGACATATCAGATCACACAAACAGTGTTGTGATAGGGAGATGTCAACATGACACACTCATTAACTTTAACTGCTTGGTTTATGGTAACAAGTGTAATGTTTGGTTTCATCACACAGACACACGTTCGTTCTTCTAGCCCTGTGGGGACATTTCATTCACATATTTTATTCCCTAATCTTAAACATCACAACTACCCGTCTAACCTCAACCCTTCCTCTTGTACAGATTACACAAACAAGCGATAAAGCAGCGCGATTTAGAGCTGCTGGTTGGCTGGATTTTGTTGCCTTTTTATGCTAAGCTAAGCTAGCTATCTTTATTGTAGCTTTCATTATTTAGCGGACAGATATGAGAAACTGTAGCTTTCTAGAAAGCATGTGTGAAAAACAAAGATTAAATTGCGTGCTGTAAAGTTACAGGTGTAAATTTAAAGTGACCTTTGTCACCTGTACAGAGTCAGAGCCACACAGGTCATCTTACTGGACTCCAACACAGCGACTTTAATTTGCAGATGTGCGTTTTTTTATTCCACCAGCTATTGGCTTTTTAGACAAAATGGGACAGAGCCTGCGACTCTCTGCAGAGAGGAGATGCTGCTCCCTTCTTTTGTGCTTCTCCTCAGACAACAGTGACGCTGTCGCCAGTTGTGTACAGCATTCATCTTTGTATGTCTATAGTGTATGAGTTATTATTGACTACTGTTGAGACAAACTGCCCCTCAGTGACATTAGAACAATACTTTACTCTAGCAAATAAATTAAATTTCCCTAAATGATTTAAACCAAAAGGGACAAGAAATCTAATGACCTGCATGTCAATTGTGTCAACTGTATTATTAGTGTGGGTGTGTTTCATGTTTTTATATCCCGGCGTGAACTTTAACCTGAATGCACATAGTTAACCGATGGGGGCTCGTGTCACTGTGGGGACAAAGATTTTATGTCTCCAAAGATGCTGTTTGAGGGTTAAGACGTGGTTTTAGGGTCAGAAGTTACAGTTTGGTGTTAATGTTACACCTTGTATCAAGTATTCATGCTAAGCTAACGGGCAGCAGTGTAAGATATACTGTAGGAGTGACAGCACAGGTCCTGTTACCTCGTCCTTACTAATAAGCACTACTGTGGAGTACGCCCCAGACCACCGAGGAGCAGCTGGACGAGCTCTCCAGCCAGCTCCACTTTGACTTTCATTCTTTATCCGGTCAGTCAAAGGAGGAGGAGATAGTTTGTAGAGGTAAAGTCTGGTGCTGCAGTGTTATACAAGCACATGTGAGCAGAGGAACAAGAGTGACTGTGAGGAGGTGCTCAACATGATCGTTTTAAACTCACCCACAGACAGGGAGTCAGACGATACGGAGAGACGGACTAACACGTTGTTGGTTTTGGTCTTTTCATGGGATTTGCTGAGATTAAGAAAAATATAGAATAATACCAGCCAATTCTGGTTTATAACAATTTGGGTCTTGTTTTCATAATAATCTTACTGCGCAAACTTCTACTTCTAATGGTTGAAAAGAGACCTCAATTCTGAATCCTATGTTTGTATATTTAACTGTATTATGAACTTTAAAAGCTCTATGTTCTTTGTTTGAGCGGAAAATGATCCAACACCAGCTGTAAGTTAAAAAAAAGGTATAAACCTAAAAAGGCAGCAGATGAGTTACATTTAATCAAATCAGATTAGGCTACTAATGTAGATAAATTATGTATTCGTCAGCCTTAAATAAATAATGGTAATTACCAATATAATTTTCCTCACCACTACAATATATGGTCAATAAATATTTGGAATTTATTTGAATCACAAGCCAATGAGCACTTAATTTTTCTATTAAAATATTTATTTTGTTGTGGAAAAAAGTTACTAATCATTTGTTAAAAAAAGACTATCATAATAGTTTTAAAAAAATGTTCTACCTCAGATTTGTTTATTAATCCACTGTTTGGCATCGAGTGTTTGTCACATTATGACTATAAAAGGAAAGTTTAACCACCTGCTACTGTTCAACTTTCATTCAGGAGCAAAAATCAGACTTTAAATAATGATTTGACATTTATCCAAATAATCGATACTGAATGATATGAAATGTTTTTATCGCGCTAACATTTTTGGCCTCATCGCCCAGCCCTAGTCACTCTAAATATTAGTCAGAGCATCTTTATCTGCAGCCTCTCCTGCTCCTTTTCCCATCTGTTAGTGGGAGAACGTGTGCAAACGTGTGTCGTGCCACATGCAGTTAAAATAAAAACCTATATAAACACTGTGTGGCAGCTTTACCTTCACTTTGTAATGCACCATGGCGGCGATTATTATCATCGCCAGGCCGAGGCCGATGAAGCCGTACTGCATGTACTCCATCACGGCAGGCAGGACGACCAGGTTCGTGTGGAACGTAGAGAGGATGGGCCCGTCGATATATCCGCTCTGAGGAGGAAAGATAATGTGTGTTACAGGATTATACAACAATACAGCTTTAATGTGCAAAACTAATGGAAGACAAACTGACTCGTTAGCTTCTTACCTTTAAATCACCTCATATTGGCACACGTTTCAATGCTCATTACTAAACCAGCAGATCACTGAATCACCGCAGCGTGCGTTTAAAAGCATTTCTCTTTACTTTAACGACTGTTGCATGATTGCTCCAGGGTTGATCTCTTTGTGCTCGATGCAGAACAGGAACACAAAACAAGCATCTGTTTGCCTGGTATAAATGTGGATTTACTGTAAAGTACTTTAAAATTGTTTCAACAATGTATGAATTTAACCATTACTAGAGACATTTTAGAGGAGACACGCCACTCAATCTCATCCTCAATACAACGCTATGGGGAAAGCCTGTAACTGTAAAGATGGCGGTTATCCCGCCCCTCCTGCTAAAGAGCTAATCGTCTGCCTTTAACAGCCAAAGCGGGAATCATTTCAGCCAATCGTGTGGTTCCACTGACGTAGGGGTCTGTTTTACTTCTACGTGGAAGAAGTATAACCGGTCAAAGAAAATGCTTTTTAAGCCTTACTTTGGGGCAAAGTCAAACACTTTCAGCAATTTTTATTAGATTTTAATGCCGATTCTATTCATGTAGTGTTTATGTCCTGGTGACCAGTAGAAGTGCAGTTCTGGCTCTGTCTCCATTCATTCAGATAGGAGCCTGGTCTTGTTAGTCCAAAATAGCTGCCCTGAGGAGTTACCAAGACGGCGGCCGAGTGGCAGGACTTGCCTATAAGGACTTTGCTATTACTATTATTAAAGCCAAAGATTCCCATAGTTATTATACACTGAACAAAATTATAAAAAGGCAACACTTTGAGTTCAGCTCATGATGAATGAGGGCAAAAACAAGATCTAAGACGATCTCTACGTACACAAAAGGCCTATTTCTCTCAAATATTGTTCACAAATCTGTCAAAATCTGTGTTAGTGAGCACTTCTTTGCCGAGATAATCCATCCACCTCACACGTGCTGATCAGACAGCATGGGTATTGCACAGGTGTGCCTTAGGTTGGCCACAATAAAAGGCCACTCCAAAATGTGCAGTTCCATCACACAACGCCACAGATGTTGCAAGTTTTGAGTGAGCATGCAATTGGTATGCTGACTGCATGAATGTCCACCAGAGCTGTTGCCCGTGAATTGAATGTTAATTTCTCTACCATAAGCCGTCTCCAAAAGGCGTTTCAGAGAATTTGGCAGTACACATGACCGGCCTCGCAACCGCAGACCACGTGTAACCACACCGGACTTAAGGAATATAAATAACTGGAATACACACATTCAGACTTTATGACCGCTTTAGGGAATCACCACTTGTTTTACGTCTCATTTACAGTGACGTTAAATCTGAACGAATAATATTTTGGTGCTCGTTTCTGTAAAATGAACGCAACGATTAAATTGTAGAGAATCTAACTGATCTTATGATGTGTAGCATCATGTCCATACTGACCTACAACCTTTATATGTGTGATCTAAGCAGCTTAGCTGAAACAGTGACCCGGTGGACTTTGATATATAAAAAAATAAAATAAAAAAAAAAAAAACTTCCAGATCAGGCGTCTAATTGGGATTAGACGCCTGATCGATATTTTAGGTTATCATTCAGATTTTTTGTATCATTTCAAATACTAAATTCTGTGTGTTTTTTTACAGCATTTTATTATTCCGATGCTCTATATAAAACTTTAAATGAGACGTAATATGATACAGATGTTTGTGCCTATGTGAGATTTTGATGCCAAAATTAGGAGGAGAACATTTTGTGTTTCACGAACTCTGGCAACTCTTGAGAAAACTGTTGTGAAATATTGTAGTACATAAAAAGGTAGAACTAACAGGGAAAACGATGACAAACCGGGAACGGAGAAGTAAGAACCCCAAGGCACCAAAATAAGAATTGTACTTGAATAAGACGAAGAAGTATCGCTGAATACTCTTATTAATAAACAACTTACCTCCTCAAACCAGAGCATCGGCATCACCACCTCAGCAATCTTGCCAGTTTCTCTGCAAGGACAAGAACGCTCAACTTCAAACCACGAATGGTAAGAAAACAGGAAATATCCACGAGCCACATGAGCACATAAAAACAATACTTGTCAAAACGTTTATGGCGTGGGGACATTTAGGGAATAACTTCCTTACGTAATTCCTGACACTCTCTTCATGTAGAGGTTGAGCTGCAGACGGATGGCCACATTCAGAGGGATGCCCGTTAGCTAGAAAGAGAGACATAAAAACAAACCTCACACGGGGAATAGTATGGGAACAATTAAAGAAAGTATAAAGAAATGTTTCCATATAACCAAAAACAATTAACAAAAGGAGGAAATCCTCATGTTTGAGTGTGATTTTTTTCTGGGAAATCGAATAATTCACACACGTGCAAACGGCACGGCAGAAAAAAAAAAAACAAGTGAAATGCAACAACGAAAAAACAGCCTTCAGTTCATCCCAGAGGTGCTGGATGAGGATGAGGTCAGGGCTCTCTGTACATCGTTATGAAAACAGGAAAGGGACAAACAAACTGTTGAACAAGTTGGACTTCACACTATTGTCTAAACTGTCACGCACTGTAGCATTAATTCAATTTATTTATATATAGTGCCAAATCAACTGAAGTTAGCTTTTCATACAGAGCAGGTCTCGACAGTACACTCTTTGTAATCCCATTGTAAACATATTTTATGTAAATGATAAAGTGCCATATTGCACATCTGTCTTTGATTGATGTGTGTTGTTATGCACCTTGTCACTGAAGCAAAGTCCTGCAATAAAATTGTTTCGGATTCTGAAGCCAATTTTATTTGTTTAGCCCCGACATCACAGGATTGCCTCATGGGGATATACAATCTGTACAGCATATAAAGCGCTCTGCTTAGACTATGATTTTAGTTTGAACAAACTTTATCTGAAGCAGCTGCTGATTTCAAAGTCACAGCAAACTGCATCTTGATAACAGATACGGACGGATGAAGAGTTGGAGGTTAATGTGTTTTTCTGGCCGAACAAACTGATGTGGCCGCTCAGACAGGCAGTGGGGTTTCTCAAATTTGGATTCACCAGAATCACTCACTCTCTCACAACTGTCTTCTGGAAACTAAAACCTCTCGTTTCAGCAACAGCAATCTGGAATTAGTGTAAATCCAAGACCAATGTACTTCGTACAAACGGCACCGCTTTTAAAACTGTTTCGCCCTTTCGTGCCATCCTATTTCCTCAGGCATCTGGACTCATCTGGCTTCAAGTACTGGACTTGGATGTTTGGTAACATGTGGGAACCGGATATCAAGTGTTTACTACTTGAACTTGCAGGAAATTAAATGTCCCCGAGCCCCACACGATTTTCTACATTACTACACAGAGACCGCTTAAAGAGTTGAAACACGGAGGAGTTTCATTTTCAACAACAGAAATATAAAAAAGTGTGTAGGGTTGGGTATCAAGAACGGTTTCAAGTTGGAACAGGTACTAAATTACCCAGAACAGTGGACTGGATCAGACCCGTGTGTTTGGATTCTGCTCATCGGTTCCCGACTTGCTGCATATTTCAGCTCCTGACTGAACTGCAGTGAGCATTTTACAGTCCATCAAAGTGTCTCTGATCTGCCAGGAGCTGCTACGCCGACCTAATGTCAGCCAGCTACGTCAGCAGCAACATCTGAGCTGACGTTCAGCTTTTATACTGAAGGGAAACCAACGATGCTACAAATGATTCAATATATATGTTTCTTAGAGAGGAGTCCCCTTTGGGACAGAGACTCCTTTCACTTTAGCCATGAAGGGGAAGATCAGCGAGGAGGATGAAGGTCAGCGAGCGCTGATAAGATCTGTGGTGAAGGAACCAGAACAGAGATTCAATAAGTAGAATTGGGTTCGATTGAAGGGCGTCTTCTTCAGCTTAGAATGGGCCGTTAGTCTTCCGGTTTTTAAACGTTTTATCTTTATCACTCTACATGCTCCTTTTACATTTTTATTTCTTATATAATCCATCTCATATTTCTATTGTGCTTTTAATTGCTTTATTTTTAAATGTGAACTTTGCATGTAATTTCATACTACAGTGTACTGTGAAGTCACTAAAGAAATCTTGAATCTGTAGTGCGAAGAGGTCACATCCAACAAGTTTTCCCTTCGCTATTTAAAAACAGCTTCATGAGCAGAAAGCGGTTTCCCTTAATCAGTAACCTGATGTTACTGCAGACTGGCTGAAATTGACTGAACAAGCAAGCTTCAATCTGCACAGAAACTGTTTTGTTATCAAAACTGATATTTTACTGGGGCCATAGACTGTTTATTACACCCCTTAACTCACAAACTGCTGCAATTACGGAGAATTGGACCAATTTCCAATTACCTTATCACAATGCTAGTTATAGTTGTTGTATAAGGAACTGAGAACAAAATGAATCATGTTACAAGAAACCTATCAGTAAAGAAAAACAAAGATAAAATCTGATATCATGGAGTTGATTTAGAGCAGCAGGTCAGCAACAACAAATGTGATCGTCAGTACGGATGAAATACAGCAACAATCAGGCTGTAGCAGAGTGACTTCCTTTGACCCTGATATGTAATCTGTCCACCTCTGCTCAAGCGGACCACATCACCTCAAGGACAACAGCCCCACTAAAACAATTTTATGTCAGCTGATTCACTCATTTGTTTCTGATATGTTTAAAAAAAAAAAAAAAAAAAAAGCCACATGCACTCGGCACCGTTTCAACCACCTACAGTGCACGGTCAGTCTAAAGTGCACGCCGCAACTGCATTTAGGACGCATCCTACTCCATTTTTGCTAGTTAACTGTGCATAATCTTGGCGCATTATCAAAAGGTTTGTTTTGGGCATAAAAAAAAACACATTGTGCTGAAACGTGTTGGGGACGATACACTTAGTTCACAAGATCGGACGATGTACAATATATAGATCACAAGAACGCGACGAGAAGATACTTGATCACTATTTTAAAGAAATATTCAATGCTGAGATATAAGAGCGGGCGGGGGGGCGTCCTCTCCCAGGAAATGTGCAGCATTAAACAATTTCCTGCATTCTGGAGACATTTTCTGCACCAATGTTTGCTAGAAATGACAATTCAAAATTTACATTGTATGTTTCCTTTTTGTGCAAATAAACCTCTCAAGGTTGTTTTTTTTTAACAAATGCTTGGGTGATGGGACAAAATCAGCCATTTAATAAAGTGGTGGGGACATGTCCCCAGCGTCCCCACTGTAAATGGTGTAAAATGAAATAATCCAATACGTTTCATCTCCCACTCCCTGTAAAAGGACTTTCCTGCACATGCGGATGAGCGAGAGAGACGAGGGGTCTCCTCTATGAAACCTCCTGATTCTCAATGCGCTGCATTATTAGAAACCACGATGAACTGGTCGCTCCTTCAGTCCGCATGCATTACTTCCTGTTGTTGACTGTGTAGCTGCTTTCACATACAGTATGTTGGTGTTCATGTTTGCCGTCTGCTGTAGTGTTACACCTTCTCAAATTCTTGTAAACTATTATACAGACTGACCTGCGGTCTGCACCACAGCTGTGGCTGTGTTTTAACAAACAGCGTGAGCCCGCTAATAATGCACGGATCAGCTCTGACGTGATCCAAATGTGCGCATGAATCTTCCACCTGCCACCCAGCCCAACAAATTTCCTCAGATTTAGAGACCTGGACCCGCATGAACATTTCCCTCCCTGTAGTGTCTTTTATTAAAGATTTACTTTAATGATTAGGGACGCGGCCGTCAAGTCATTTAAACGTATCCATGCGCACAGTCGCAGCAAATATTGTGGGACATTTAAGAAGCAAAACGAAAAAACTAGGACAGACAAGAGGAAACAGAATTTAACTTTCAGCTTCTGAAACATGTTTAGACGCTCTGGTGGAGCTTGGCTGTATGAACGTGGACCGTGTGAGACCTTTTGGACTTGCAGAAGAACAAAGATCATCAACTGACGTTAGATCCTGACTGATCCCGTCGGCGCCTCGGGAGATTTAAATAATCAATGAAGTTCTGCAGCTGTGCTGGTTTTTAGCTCTTCTTAAGCTTTGTTTATATATGTGTGTGTCGCTCACCGGGTGAATGTCTATGAAGAGGCCATGCTCCTCCTCAGTTGGATGAAGGCCCTGCACGTAGTCCAGCAGCACGGGATCGGCGTTATAGAAGTGAGGATGAGAGATGAAGCACGGAGACTCTAAAATGGACGAGAAACTGTTCAGTTATTCTGCAATTCTCTGAATGAAACACCATCAGGTGAAAATTCAAACCTTTAAGCTGTGGTAAAACGTACATTTACTCATGCACTTGAGTTTCAGCTGCACTTTTTGAACAAATTTGAGAATTTCAAGTCAAGATCATTTAATTTATACAGCACAAATCACAAGTCGCTGAACACAATCTGAACAATTCGAACAATTCCTTCGATTAGAGTGAGGAAGAACTCAGGAAAAAGGATCCCAAACAGGAAACGGTTTAACAGAAAAACACAGTATTACAATTATGTCGACAGTTTAGATACATTTGCTTTTTGCTTGCAGCATCTACATTTCATGCCAATTCTACTCTACTGAACTTTTCCCTCCTCCACATTCATCTGACAAATTTAGTTACTAGTAACTTTGCAGGCTAAGAATTTATGCATGCTTATAAAAACATGATGTATTGTTATATTTTATATGTAAAATATATGAAATTAACCAACAGCCTTTAAGTAAAATAGTTCAGAGTATCAAAAACTGTTAAATTCAGTCTCTAACTTCAGACATATTGGACCATCACTCTCAGGCAATGCAGCCAGAATGTTTCTTCATTCAATGATCTTTTCTCGTATTAAATACCGTTTTAGAAACTGGTCACTTGTAAATTCCACAACACTCAAACCAATAAGGTCACTTTTCAAATGAGCCTTAAAAATCTTCAATAAAAAAACCAAATATGTTTCTTCTCGTCACTGCTTAATCCTGCAGAAACATAACTTGCTAAGCTTTGAATATATTTTATAAGTCTAAATTGGCGTGCGCTGGTTTGGTCAGGACCACTTCACTGACACGACGTACAAGTCAGAGGTAATCCAGAGGTGTGCAGACGTGTACTCACTGTGGCGGCAGCTGCTGACATTCAGCAGGCCGGACTGTCTGCAGGGGCAGAAACCTTCATTGGGAGCGTAATCGGTCCCATTAGCGAACATCGTCTTGGGTGCAATAAATCGATACAGAGGGACGCCATTAAACTCGCCAGGACGCTGGTAAACGAGCTCCAAAGATCTGAAACCACACACGGAAAGATGGTTTTTGCAAGTACGCAAAAAGAACGGAGAGACAGACCTGAGAGTAAAAGAAGAGGAAGGAGTTTTACCTGCAGGCGTCAGGGCTGTAGAAAGGTAAAGTGCTCTCTTTGGTCATGAAGGGAGGCCACATCTGTCCAGCTGTTCCATTGATCATGTTGCACTGAGGCGTCTGCCAGTAGCTCAGCTGTGAACAGAGAGGACGGGTCAGAGGGGGGGAAGGCGAAGACACGCGAGCCCATAAAGAGTCCTGCGGGCTGCGGTGTTGAAGTCTCACCTGCGTCAGGCCGTTCCAGGAGTCGACCTTGTGGACGTTCCTGATGTTGTCTTTTCCAGTGAAGATGGTGAACAGGCCGGTGTTGGAGTTGTTGAACTAAAAGATATAGTTGAACATCTGCATGAGACTACTGATGCCTGACTGAAGTGAAAAACGCACACAGGCTCATTTGAAGAAAAAAAAAAAGCAAAACATGAAATTTCAGCTAATTGTTTATTAATTCTGCTCAACTAATGATCATCAAAAATGTTAATAGATTTTCTGTAGATCCACTGATTGCATGTTTTCAGCAATGGGTAAGACAAGCTTATTCGTTTAGCACATTTAAGCTAAAGAAAAGGTGTCTCAAAGTGCTTTACATAAAACATAGAAGCAACATAGGGAAATATTAAACAATTTAAAAAAATAACAGTCAGAAAATAAAATTAGGCTAATTTATCCAGTAAATATTTGTTCACCCATATGATGTTACGAATAATCAGGTTTTTCACCGTCCATTGTTTTGCTTTTTTGATTTCCCATCTCTCACACCAGTCAAACCTCACGCGATATTTATTTCCTCTTACTCACAAACGTCAGCGTGAATCCAGATTGTTTGCAGTACAATCTTGGTAGAAAAAACAGCAAAGAAAAACCGTTCAGCCCTACTCAGACCTCAAGTCGGTCAAAAAGAGTAATAATCTTTATTTGTAGAGCACTTTTCCTCAGCTTTTGCCATAACTTCACGTGAACACTGTATTTAATTGTAATCGTCACAGCAGACATTTAAAAAGTCTCAGAACCGCTGCGCAGCGTCTTTGTGTCTGATAAACCTCACGTCATGGGCGTGTGACTTAAACTGCACTTCCTAGAAACCATCTCACTATCTCCTGAAGCACAGACCTTTGCCTTGTTTTTGCTCTGAACACCCGGTTCAAGGTGATTAAAGGTCAACACCACATGTGAACATGGAAAATGCATTTTAAAACACTCACTTCAGCAAAGAGGCCAAACTTCCCCGTTGAGGGCAGCATGCCGGGCAGGTACCGATTCAGGAACTCCACCAGTAAACTGTCATAGCCCCACATCAGCTCGCCTATGGTCTTGGTCAGGAAGGGCCCCTCGTTGAAAGTCTTGAAGGTGGCGCTGATCATTAAACGCACCGCAAACGGCAGATTTTCCAGCATGACCGCTGCACCCTGAAAACACAGAGCGCAGAGAGAAAGCTGAAGACAGGACAGCGGGCGAGTAAAGCAGAGAGCGTGTGCCGAGCGAGGGGAGAAAAACGGCGTCTTACCAGCACCAACATGTTTGGAAGCGTGACAACGTCAGACTCGTTCCCTACAGACATGGACGGCTCAAAGAAGTACTGTCTGTATTCCTTGTAGGACACCGTGTTGTTGGGATGAAATGTGATGTTGTCTTTCTGGATGTGTTTTCTGAAAGACAAACAAACCTAAACATTTATACACATCCTCATTCTCCACCTGCTCGGTGGTTTTTCATGAAAGGTCGTGAGAAGACGTCACATCGCTGTCGTCGTCGTCTCAGATGGATTTTCTTACTGAAGTTTCTCAACATTTGTCTCCAGATGAGACAAGGTGCCATAAAAATGCAGATACCCTCACCTGAGTCCCCTGAGGGTAATACACCTATCAGCCACAACATTATGACCAGCTGGTCTTCCTATTGCCGCCAAAACAGCCTGGACGCCACTGTGTGTTCAGACACTTTTCTATCAGAACGAGCATCCACTTCTTCAGCAGTTTGACCTACAGCAGCTCGTTTGTTGGATCAGACCACGCCGGCCAGCATTTGCTCCCCACGTGCATCACCGACCCCGTCGCCGGTTCACAGCTTTTCCTTCAACTATTGATTTAACATGTGACAGAAAACCTAGACTGTTGGATATCTGCACTCTCTCGACTTACGGTCAATATCTCGGTCTTGTTAGCGTTTCCCTGCAGGAAATTCTGGCAGTTCAGCGTGTTGACAGCGTTCTGCAGATTCACAGCTTAAAAAGATACGAGTATCGTCCGTGTAAAAATGGAAACTGATATTATGTCTATGTATAAGTTAGCAGGAGGGAGCATGTAAACTACCAGTCAGAAGTTTTACAACACTATTTTTCCAGTTTGTATGTAAATATAAGTAGTACAAGTCCAGTGAAAAAGCTTAAATGGTAATAAAGTAAACAGCAAACTGCCAAAGTTAAAAACAATGTTTAAACCTAAACAAAACATTCAGACATATTAACAATTAAATGGAGGAGTTTTGTTCATTATTTCACTGTAGGATGACCAGCCGCTCTGTCTTTTTGTGCAAATAAATCAATCATTTCCTTCCACTGCTGCAGAATAACCAAAGAAGGTAAAGACAAAGTTGAGGTCAGCAAAATACTTTGAATTTCAGAGTTACAATTTCCAGGGATCAAGTTATGAGTTAGCATCTTCTTATAGTTCTTCTGCAGCAGTGGAAGGAAACGAAGCCTTGAGAAGTTTCCGTTTCAGGAAAAAATAAATAAATAAACAATGTACAGGTAGAATCTGTTGTGTGCACGGCGTAGGAGAGACGAGCAGAGGGAAACTGCTCAGGGCTTCTCGACCGCAACTGTCTGGAGGAGAAACATTATTACATCTGATATCTTTGGAGTAAAGGAAAGGAATGTTGTTCAGGCAGTGTAAGGAAGTCTGCAAAGAGCCACTGCAAAGCATTTTTGTATTTAATAAATAAACATGAGTAGAGCACAGAGCTCTTTCTAGTAAACTTTATCAACATTTACTGAATTATTAAATATCATCAACATATTATCTAGTAAACATCATCAACACTATCAGGCTGTTAAATAAACAGTATGTTTTGGTACTCTGAAACCAAACCTACGACCTTTGGCTCATGGAACACTTTGCACCTTGTGAATCCTGCTAATGTGATAAAATGATAAAGAGTAAGAGGCGAGATAAGACGCATGGAAGGAGGAGAAAAGAAAAATAACTGAACAAGGGAACAACCCACGACCCAAATCTAAACTAAAGGCTAAAAATCAGATTTGGCAAAGAGTTTGAATTTGCCGTGAATTGGGTGAATTCTGATAAAAACACCAGAGTGATTTGGAATTTTGTGACTTTAATTTCAGGGAATTTCTGAGTTTTGTTCTTGTAAATTTTCAAGACTTTCAACTAAAAATAAATAAAAAATCTCTGTATTTTTAAACACGTATAAAAGTCAATCTTAAATACGTGAAAACATTTAGGATAATTCAATTAGACAGACGGGCTTCCTTAAACGAACTAAGATCTCCTGCCTAAGATCACCGAGGCTGCAGGGCTCGCTGTATGAACGTAATGCTGTTGTCCTAATTTCAGCTGCAACAAGTCAGGACGAAATCTAAAGTGATTCGATCACGTGGTGTGTAGCCAACACATACAGGTAACGTGTGCGTTAACCACGACGGTAACCTGCTCAGAGCAGGTCGTATTGCAGGCCACAGACATCTTCATGGAAAGGATCCTTACGAGGGACTCGGATGTCTCGCTCAAGGACAATTCTCACTCTAAAATCACTTGAGAGGCGAGTTGTTGCAGGAAGGCAACTGTGGCAACGATGGAGTTGTTCTGGACTAACGTTAGGAAATAAAGCCTTGCTAGCAGCTCCTCTACGTACAGAACAAACTCCTTTCATTTTCACCGGCGTCTGGATATACACGCATCTTTGAAACAATTAAAATAATTTGCATATTTTATTTTAAAGCCAACTCAGCTAACTTTATTATTAGGAGGCCATTTCACCAAACACCACTGATCTTTCATAAGAGAAGCGTGAGGATCTCGATTTGACCACGGGTCTCTTTTTTAAGGATTAAATATTCTATTTCTATCAAAAAATCTTAAACCAGCAGTGAATGAGCTCCACTGTTTTTCTGACTCAGTCCCACACGCACCTTCCTGCTGCCTCAAATACTCACTAGATCCACATGTGGATTCATCCGCCGCTGAAAGTAGTCCCCAACATATGCACCATTTCCTCTTGTTTGTCAACAGAAACTACAGCGAGCAGCTGTTTGAGGAAATTACTGAGCCTCATTAAACATCTATACATCTGCGAGGAGTTTTTAAAAGATTTACGTCTTCAGCAGGAACCAGAGAGCCACAGATAGGAAGTCGGACAGGACTGAGAGACGGACTGAGGTGTTGCTGGTTTCATTTTTTTCCATGGGTTTCGCAGACAATAATAAAAATATAGAACAAGACCTGCCCTGTCGTCGTAGAACTTTTTGTTCATCATCCAGTCTAGTTCAACATGTGCTGCTACAGACTGTGTGGAGTAATGATTTAAAAAACGTGCAGATTGAACTCATTCCTCCTTGCACATATGTAAGTTCTGCAACTTTGTCTCCCACATAACGAACAAGCCACATACTTGTGCTGCTAGAACTTTTTGTTCATCTAATCTAGGTCAAGGTGTGCTGCAACAGGATGTGGGGAGTAACTACACATACAGATTGAACCCCTGAAAGAGATACAACTCTGGCACAAAGAATAAGCCACATAGTAGTTAGGGATGAAACGATTAGCGGTTTAACGGTAAAATTCCTGACGGTTATCATTACCGTACAGATTTTAAATTACCATGGTAACCGGGTATAATCTCACGGCAAACACTGTCCAGCGTCTCCCAGAAGCAGGTGTGCATGCGCACAATGCAACGTGGGTTTGTTTGGGTCAATGGCAACACGGCAGAAGACAACGCTGCGGAGATTTTTCAGTCACTCTGACTTGCTAACAGCGCGTAAACTGAAGGGGAGAACATGCAAACTCCACACAAAGGCCGGGAAGACCAGGGTTTGAACCCACGACCTTCTTGCTGTGAGGAGACCGTGCTAACCACTGCACCACCGTGCCGCACCTCATTGTATTACCTAAATAATATAAAAATCTTGATAATGCACACTTAAGTGATATTCATGTTTACAAAAAGGCATTTGCTGTCATTTTTTTTTATGCAAACAAAATGGCAACTGTATTTGTAGTTTAATATAAGACTTGTTGAAATGGTTTCGGCGTCACGCCACATTTTGCATCTTGCAGGACAAAGTGGACCGAAACAGAAGCATGCATGGTTCAGCATGTGTTGGATGTTAATCTAAACTGTGTACCTGTACACGTAAGGTCCTCTCTGCTCCACCATGGGCTTTTCTCCCGCCAGTATCTCCTGAGGGTTGAGGATGTTGAAGAAGTAGACAGACATGAAGAAGGGCACAGGGACGTCTTTCCACATGGTGAAGGTGAGGTCATTGTCTGGGTCGATCACTGTGTTCTGACACCAGAGGGAAAGAAGTAGGAGTTAAAAAGGCCCATTATCAGATATCTTCAGGAGGCCCACAGCCACGAAGGATTCTCAGTTTAAGATCATATATGTTGAAGAAAAGCTTAAAATCAACTAATGTCCGATTTGACTAATCATTTCAGGTCTAAAATCATTAAATCTATATAAACCAACATAAAAAAAGGCAGCGTTTCAGCTGTATTCCCATTGAAAGACTGGAGTACAAACACTGTGTCCACGATGGTTATTCAAATGTCCAAGGTGATCTCACTTCACACGGTTTAATCCCATTATTCCAGAGTCGAGCAGGATTTTAAAATCTGAAACAGGCATGTAGATTTTAATAGTTGATCCAATTTATTTTCAATACAATTGTTTTCCCCCCCCACACTCATGAACTAATTGTTTAGTCAACAAGTGAAAAAAGTCCAGTCAAAAACTCTTCTCAATTTACATGAAACGGAGAAAAGCAGCAGATTTTCTGTCAATTGACGAATTGATTTGACTTGTTACTCAACAGAAGCTCTTTTGGATCAGATTACTTGTCTCTGTAAAAAGAGGCCAGTGTGAAATGATTGTAGGACGATGAAGTTAGCTTCAGGTTCAGCAGTTAAGGCGAAACTCTGATCAAAAAACACTCAATTTAGAGCTCTCAAATCTGGACTAGATTGTTCCAGAGAGGCTAAATTATCTTTAAAAACAACAACAACAACAAAAAAAAGGAAATAAAAGGCAGATTTATAAATTGTTTTTTAAAGTCATTTTCACAAATCTGAAACTGTTTCAAAGAAACTTTAAGCTCTTTGAGACAATCTAGTCCAGGTTTGAGAGCTCTAGGCATCGTGGGTTTTGTCTGAACCTGGTTTAATGTGGTCTACATGCGGGAAAAACCTATAAAATCCTTTTTTGCATTTTTACAAATAAAATAAAAGTTTTCAGACATCCGAAATACTGTTTTAAAGAATCTTTGGCCTTTATGGTACAATTTAGTTCACATTCGACAGCTGTATGCATACTGGTTTTTAACATTTTAATATGAATACACATCATTCAATTATGTTTTGTTTAACACTTTTCTCTGGATAAGATGGTCTTCCAGTTGGAAATCCTCCCAGGTGCACCATTAAGCAGAACTGAAGGGCTGTCTGTATTTAACAGCTATAATTGACCCAAAATACAACTTAAAACTGAACGACAACAGGAATGTCTCTTCATATATAACGTTGTGCACATATTTTTACCCTTTGTGTTTCAGCACAGCTGCAGGAGCACGGCTCAGTGAAGCTCACTGCACATGCTGCTTGTGTACAAGATGTCCTTTGGATTTACAGCAACATGGGCACATATGACAAGTTGGTTTTCCTGCACACGCCGCCTTTGTTTTCCTCCTGTCATCCTGTTTTCAGATTTAAAGGCTGAACAAAGTTACCGAGCTAACTCTCCGGGTCAGGACGCCGCTTACCTTCACCACCTGGTCGTCGATGATTATCGGTCCCACGAAAGCAAGAACAGTCCCGAAAAACACCGTCAGCACACCTGCGACTATGAACCCAAAAGCGACCTTGGCTTTATTAATTGCCATGGCTTCTTACGCACAGCTCGCCGTGCGTAATTCTTTGTTTGGCTCCGTGTGGTTCTTTGTTTGGCTCCAGACAGCTGCGCGCTGCTAGCTAGCTAGCTGTGAAGACTTCACCTGTGTTTCAACATGAAGCGCTGCTGCTCAAACTTAAAGTCTACAGTGCACCCGGCTTCTTCATCTGCCTGATCGATAACGTTAACCAGCTCCCCATTTTCGCCGTATTTATAATCTTGATTACGCATGCGTCGGCTGAGCTGAGGATTGTGGGAGTTGTAGTTCGGGCTCGTTGTGCACTCAGAAACCCTGATGGGAGCAGGACTCCGATTCTTTACTTTAAAAAGTAAAAGTAAAACACACAGAGGTGTTTTAATTCAATTGTTTTTTGAAAGAATAATTTGTGTAAAATTTTTAGCTTGCTAAGAGCTGAAAATGTTTTGAGAAAGGTTATTTGCTCAATAAAAAAACATGCAATGCAAGGTAAATACAGAAGAAACAAGTGTGCATTGTGCAAAAAAGTAACCTACTGGTTCTAAAACTACCCTAAAATGTGCATGCACTAATCAGACTTTAACAAATTCTTGACACGGTTTCTTTTTTCAACAGCTGTTGAGTCGGTTTGTGACATCTTGTTTCTCTAATTTTAAAAAAGTCTGAAGCATCAAAACAACATCTAAAGTAAAGTTTGATTTATTATCTTTAGCTAACATGTTAATGTGACTCTAAGTTGTTTTTTTATCTTGTCATATTTTAAGGCAGTGACTGGCCTAATCTTATCACTGGTGCTTTCTTTACAGTGGATGTGGTTTTGTCATGGTGTTGCAGGACTGTTACTTGTGTGTTTTATGCTGAGTATTTTCATATTGTCCACTCTACACCATGCCCTTTTGATGAGCCATCATTATGCTATATTTTTTATTTGTAATTATTTACTTTGACCTCATACCAATCCTCTTGTTAGACCGTCAAAAGCTTTTAGCATCTGAGCCCCACAACTTTTTAACACAAAGTGACGCCCTTATACAGTATGTGAGGAAAATGTTTTTTACAGTATCAGCAGTAAAAGTACTCATTCTTCAGTAAAATGTCTCCTGTGACTGATATGGAGGGCTGTGTCTGCCACAATGCTCAATAAATAAATAAACATCTTGTTAAATACACCAAAAACAGATTTAAAATATAAATGTTTTCATTAATTAAATTCATGCTTCTTTATTTATTCACCTTTGTATTAACGTATTTTCCTGTGAATGTTCTGACAGACATTCAGTTTCAGTGAGCGGCATTCAGGGACTGTGAAATCCATCTTCTTTCAGTGGCGGCTATAGCGCCCCCTTGTGCCTGCAACTGAGTTGATTTCTCAGTGGTTAAAAACAAAGGAGGCCAGGATAATGAAGAATCAAGCCACGGTTGTGAATTGTTTACAAACTCTCAAACCAGCTACTTTCCCATGGGAACTTTCACCCAGCTGCAACATAATACAATTATCAAACACCACACAGTGAAAGATAAGCCCATAATAATGAAACTTTTTATGCTTTTGGTCTTTGAATAGAAGCGCCACAGTTTGTTTTTTTAACCAATAATGGCTCTAATACACATATGGATCCATATATGACTGAATGAGAGGCTCCAATTTGAAGTCTTGCAGCTTACTCATTTTTAGACCTTATACATTAGTAAATTATTTAGTTAGTTATTAAGAGAATACTCATAGTATTAAGTATGTGTTGTTAAATATCGCTTTGTCAATATTTAAAAGTTACAGTAGAGTTATTTTGTTACTCATATTTATGCGTTGATCATCAATCCTTAATGAATTGTCTCTTTTTATCGTTAACAAGGTTTGATTTGGAGCAGAAAGATATCCCAAACTGGAATTTGCTTAAGACAAAACTACACCTCAGTTAGTTGGTTAGTTCAGAACTTTATTGTCCATGTAGTGAAAAATAGCTTATGGTGTCACCACAAAGCGTTAAAAACAATTCAGGACAATGACTAGGACAAACAGCAGTGACACAGTATCAACAAGGACAATCTAACATGCATTTAGCAAGAACTCGCCTTGCATCACCAGCTGTGGTGTCTAAAAACATGTTATACTAAGCACTGAAAATGGGAGAGATAGACTACACATGCAAACGAGTGACAAAACTCAACAACAAATGCTGTCTATGAAGGTGCAGCAGTCAGCGCTAAATCTGCCAAAACTAATAACAAGGAACCTGCAGCACAGATGATCTTTTTATTCAGACTATGAACATGCAAATGTGAAGCATCAGCAGAGTCTATCTGAATGCTCAGCTTCTTTTGTGAAGAAAGTTGTTCAGTGTCACATAATTTGCTCTTAGTAAGAGAAAAATCAGGAAATGTTAGACTCAATTGGTAATAAAAAAGCTGAAGTGAAACTGGACAACAAAATAACCTCAAAATATTAAAGTATTGACATGACCTACCTTTATTATTTGGTGATTCATTATCGCTGGTCCCACAAACAGCAAAACGGCTCCAAACAAAACCGTCAGGGTCCCTAACGCTACAAATCCAAGAGCTATTTTGGCTTTATCGATGGGCATGGTTGCTGATAATGATCAGTTTTGTCTGATAATGGAAGAAAATGTTATGTTCTGTTGAGTCTGCAGGGCCAACAAGTCATGAAGAGAGATGGATACAGAGGAAGACGCTGTCAGGCGTGTTGGCTGTGTTTATACTCTGCAGACCCGCCCACGCACGCCCACGCGCACTCACACGCGTGCACGCGCACAGAGCGAGGGGGGTGGGTGTCGTGCACTTTTATCCCAAATTCAAACTCAGGCAAATTCATGTCACACTTTAGTCAGATGACACAGAAACACTTGACTTACTTGTTTCATATAGAGCCTACATGTGTGCACAGCGGTAGGAGAAGAATTTCAGATTCTATAAGTAAAAACTATTCCACACAAGTAAGGTCTGCACACTAAGTAAAAGTATGTAAGTATGATCAACAAAATGTAACTTAAAGAATAAAAACTAGAAGTTCTCATGGTGCAGCAAAATGTTCCCTGTCAGTGTTTCATTATATCTGCTATTATTCTGCTGCTTACACACGTTTTCAAAACTATGTCCCCTTTTTTCAAAACTCTACACACAATTCCCAAAACTGCTCACACAAAATGCCTCATATGTCCTTCAAGATAAAAACACAGCATTCAAAATGCTACAAACACATCCCAAAACAAAGCACTTGCATCAGACGGCAAACACTTTTTTCAAAGCAGTAAATTATTGGACACCTTTTACAGACTGTTGTTCTAAATCTAAAGCTCTTTTGTCTTTCAAAGGCTTATGTGTACGTTTCCATACAGCGTCCTAGAATGATAGTAATCTGCTGAGGTGTTGAAAAGTGCACTGCAAACACCAACACAATGCTGAAACAGAAAATATTTATTTGTCAAACCATTACAGTTGTAACAGTAGCACAGTGTGGTATTGAGTAGCGTTCAAGAAAAGGAAACCACAAACACATGTGAACCAAAAGTATAATTTTAATTTAATATACTGCACGGCTGAAATAACCAATAAATTGTTGCAACCTGTTCTAATTTGTTAAAGTTCAAATTATTCAACGCCACTGTAAAGCAACTCAAGGTGGGCTGGACTCTCAGTCCAGCTTCTCTCATTGTCAGCCTGTGGTTGATCACATGATCAGTGAGTGCGGCCCTGATCTCATAAGTGATGGCTCTCCTTCCTTCTCCAATTTGCCCTCCTCGTCCTCCTCATCTTCAAACTCCTTGACCTCCTTGACCCTTGTCCTCATGTCGTCCCCTGCCTGTCCATTGTTGGCATCCATTGTTCTAAACAGGTAATTTGACCTTTGACCTATGTATAGGTCTGCTGTAGACTAAAGCAGAGATCGGTTAGTTTGCACATGTGAGGAGTGGCTGTGTGACCTGGTGAAGAAGTGCAGCATTTTGATTGGTTGTGTTCAGAAAAGGAAAGCAGGTCACTTCCTGTTAGATTTTAGTGTCTCAGGCAGAGAATTGTCTGTCGTGTTTTATGCAAGTGAAAACTGAGTGAAAGGCTGAAAAATGGTTTGTGGTTTTGGAGATTCGAGGTGAAGTTTTGCTCTTTGAGTGAGAGGTTTCAAAAATCGTGTGACACGTAAAGATTTTGTGTGTAAGCAGTTGTAAAAAAAAAACTGCTGCATTAATGTTTATGTTGCATTTTAATTCATGTCCTGTTGGTTAGTTTAATCTGCAGCAATGCATCATGGTCTGTAAGATCATCATGCGTAGCGTTGTTGTCCTGTGAGACGACACGGTTCGTTGATTGGGAGGACTGAAGGATGTGCTTTTGCAGCCTTGTTTGACCTGACAGCAAATCCAATTATCCATCTAATGTGGTTAGTCAGGGGTTAATCTAAACACCACGCCTAAACCACCAGCACAATCTGTCAGGTTTACATCCCTGACTGCAGACGTTACAGGGCGCTTGTGTTTGAATTAGCATGATCAGGAACTCTTGGTGGCTCTGCTACAATCCCAGACCCCAGCAGTTAGAGGGTTTATGGCCAAGCTGCGATGTCTCTGCATGTACACCAGTCTTTGTTTTATTTTGAAGGGCCTGTAGGAATCTGATGGTGGGTTACCTTGAAGTTGGAAGGTTTTTTTAAGCAGGGTAACATGGAGTAAGTTAGTTGATTGTTTGTAAGTTAGATGTTATTTAGACTCTGGATAGCCAAGCTGCAACTTCACTATCAGAAAGTCTGAGGTTATAAGCTCACATGTGCTCACATTTGCAGCTAGCTGGCATGCGCATATTTTACCTCAGACTTTCTGCTAATGAAGTTTCAGCGAAGTCAGTTTTTAAGTCTGAGAAATGAATTATAGGAAGGCTAATAACATAAGTTTACTTCTACAACATAGGCCAATAATCCTCTTGCTTTTAAACAGCTTCTGTAATAAAATATTATTTTATGTGTCAGCAAATAGACATTGAGCTTAGGGGGGGGGGGGGGCGTCTTACCCCAAACTATCCTAATGTGGAAATCCAACACACTTCCACCTATTGTCTTCATCCAAGGTAACCCTGTTAACATTTACAATTAATATTGTCGTCCATGACAGATTAAAGCTACTGGGCTGGATATCGTGGCTTCCACCAGGAAGTTTATCTTCCCAAACAAGTGTCCTTGCCAGTCGTGCAT